CAGGGGAAAAGTGGACTGTAGAATGAAAAGTTGGGAGACTCATTATTCTATAACCTAGACACGTATCAAGAAAGACCAGGAACATAACAATGTAAAAATTAAACTCTCATTTGCATACGCGCCTCTCTTTTAGGGACCCCCCAATTCTGGGGAAAGATTATGTTGACTCTACAGCTTCATTGCTGTCCCTCTATATATTATAGGGGAAAAGTGGACTGTAGAATGAAAAGTTGGGAGACTCATTATTCTATAACCTAGACACGTATCAAGAAAGACCAGGAACATAACAATGTAAAAATTAAACTCTCATTTGCATACGCGCCTCTCTTTTAGGGACCCCCCAATTCTGGGGAAAGATTATGTTGACTCTACAGCTTCATTGCTGTCCCTCTATATATTATGCATATAAATGGAAGGCCTGAAATTCTGATGTCTACACGAGTATCTTGGACCAACATTGAATTCATACTTGAGAAACATTTACAGATTAAAGTAATTTTGCTTTGAATATTTAATCAGACCTTGCTTGCTGGCTCAGTCGGTTCTTCGCTCTTTGTAACCTCTGCAGTAGTTTCTGAAAAAAAAGTAGGAGGGTCCCACTTAGCTTAGTATGCCTTTAAACATTATGCAAGTATTTATCTATCCAGGGAATGCCTATATAATCTCTCAAAGTATTCACATGCAAATGTTCACTTTCTAAACTGTGCCATTTTAAAAGATTTACTGTTTCAATCTTCTAAATACAAATTTCAAAGTGATAGAAAATACTGGATTATGTCTTCATTTACTGGACATGGATAAAATTACACTGGTGGTAACAACTAGAACTATAAACAAAATTTATTCAGAAATAATAGTTTTTAACAGCACTTTGCACTTGAAAAAAGTGCCCAGAAAAATGCAGACAGAGCAGCATTATAACATACAAGGAAGTGGCCCCAAACACAACGTTGTGAAAAACCACCAAATCTGTGGGGCAGGCATAATAAAAGGGGGCTCATCTATATTGCAAAAATACCTGTCTTCTTGTAACTAGTTTAGCAACCATGAGACACCATCAGTAGCTGGCAAGGGCAAAACACTATTAGGCACACAGTAACCAAGAATTGATGTTTTGTGTGAATGAACCCTACTGAGAACCAAGCATGCCAGAAACTGATTAGAACACTAATTACAAGAAATAGTGTAACAAAGGCCTATTTTAGTTAATTTTACATAAGTAAACTGAGGCACCAAAATTAAATGAGTTGATGGGAGAGGTGGGAATAAGCTTAGTAATGTTAGACGTGGTAACCTAGACTTTAGTAAAACATTTTATACAGATAGTCTTGTATGTCCTTCTTATAAATAAACTAGGGAAATGCAACCTAGATGGGGTTACTAGAAGATGGGTGCATGACAGGTTGGATGACCTTTTTCAGAGATTTATCAATAGTTCATAGTCCAGGGAGCAGTTTTGGGACCTGGTCTGTTCAGTATCTTCATCAGCGATTTAGATGATGGCATAGAGAGTACATTTAAAGTCTGTGAATGATATCAAGCTGGGAGAGGCCACAAGAGCTTTTGAGGATAGGATTAAAATTCTAAATCATCTGGGCAAACTGGAGAAGTGGTCTGAGGTAAATAGGATAAACTTCAAGAAGGACAAATGCAATCAGTTGCACACATACAGAATGGGAAATGACAGTCTAGGAAGGAGTACTGCAGAAAGGGATCAAAGGGTCATAGTGCACCACAAGCTAAATATGAATCAACAACGTGACTCTGTTGCAAAAAAACCCCACAAGTATTCTGGGGCGTATTAACAGGAGTGTTTTAAGCAAAACATAGTAAGAAATTCTTCTGCTCTACTTTGTGCTGATTAGGCCTCAACTGGAGTATTGTGTCCCGTTTTGGGCACCATATTTCAGGCAAGATGTGGACAAATTGGAGACTATCCAGAGGAGAGCAACACACACAATTAATGGCCTAGGAAACATGATCTATGAGGGAAGATTAAAAAATTAGGATTATTTAGTGTGGAAAAAAGAAGCCTGAAAGGGATATGATGATAATGCCTGAAAGGGTGTTACAAGGAGGAGGGAGAAAAATTATTCTCCTTAACCTCTGAGGATAGGACAAGAAGCAATGGGCTTAAATAGCAGCAAGGGAGGTTTAGGTTGGACATTAGGAAAAGCTTTTTAACTGTCAGGGTGGTAAAGCACTGGAATAAATTGTCTAGGGAGGTTGTAAGACAGGGGTGGGCAATAATTTTTGATGGGGAGCCACTCCAACATTTTGGAAAGTGGTCTAGAGCCATATTCTTCCATGGTATTAATGGAGGAGATGTGGGGTTTGGGATGGGGCTGGGTGCAGAAGGGAGCTTGGGGTAAGGGACTAGGATGCAGGAGGGAGACTGGAGTCTGAGAGGGACTTGGGATGAAGCAAGCGGTTGTGACCCAGGGCAGGGTACTGGAGTGCAGGAGTTTGGGATGTGACCTGGGTAGGAGGGGATTGTGATCTAGGAGGGGGTATGGATGTAAGAAACGGGACAGAGGATTTGGTTATGTTGAGTTGGGGGGGCACAGAGAGTTGGGGGCAGGAAAGGGCTGGGTTGCCAGAAGCAGGTTATGGCCAAGGAACTTACTTGTCAGCTGCTAAACTAGCCTGCCTGCAGAGCTTCAAATGTTTCCCTGCCTGCCTGGCCATGTGCTTCATGAATAACTGAACCCAGGAGAGGGGGTGTGATTCTTCTTAGCTTCCTGTTATTCTAACAAGCAGCTCCCATTGACTGGTTACTTCCAGAAACCAGCCAGGTGTGGGGGAGGGGGGACAGCTTCTAAAACTTCCTCCCTCCCCTCTAGTTTTAAAACAGAAACAGGGCCCTGCAGCCACGTTTCTGCAGGGCATGCAGGACAAGCTGGGGAGCCTACCTGGGGCTCTCCACTGCCTCCGCGGGCCAGATCCAGACTACAGGCCGTATTTTGCCCAGGCCTGTTGTACAGTCTCCATCACTGGAGATATTTAAGAACAGGTTAGGCAGACATCTATCAGGGATGATCTAGATGGCACTTGACCCTGCCATGAGTGTAGGGGACTGGACTCGATCTCTTTTGGTCTCATCCAGTTATAATATTCTATGATTCCATGCTCTTGCCTTTGCTCTAGCCACTTGTAAATAAGTAACTCATGATCCACTGAGTGCTACATATGAAAAGTGCTACTGTAGAAGTAGGATGCAAATTCCTGATTAATCAGTTAACTGGTTAAACTAACTGTTAACTGACTAAGTGGGATCCAGCCCCGGGGGGCTGCTACTGGCATCAGTGGCAATAGGAGGCTTCCAGCTCCATGGGGGCAGCCCTCAGCCCGCCTGTACTGGGTAAAGCATCAGCCAGTAAAGGTGATCCTTACCAGGTGACCCGTTCGTTACCTGTCCACATCCCAATATATAAGAGGTAAGTATTATATATCTTCAGGGTGCATATTTTGTCATTAGTTTTTCCCTAGCCCCAGCTGCAAAAAAGTGCTCATGTGTTTCTCTCCGTGAACCTACTTGAAACATTTTCCTTTTTGGTACTCTCAGTTGTCTTCACTTCCACGATGCTCTTGGCATCAAGATTTTCTATTAAAAAAATATTCCCATTTAGTTTGCAAAAACAGTCAGATTTATGATAGAAGCAAAAAACAATTCAGACTGAAGTTTACCTTCACTGGCTGTCGATTCCATAGATTGATTTGACTCCACCTCCACTGTGGGAGTCAGTGTAATTTTCTCTGCTAGAACAATTTTAAAGGAGCTGTCAGATCAACAGTAATTACACAAAACTTAATACATTTCAGATAGCGTATCATTACAAACTTACCTTGCACAGTTACTGGCTTACTAATTTCTTTGACTTCATCCTGTCCAGCTTTCTTACATTCTGTGGTCTTCCTAGCCTCTACAGCCTTCTTAGATTCTGCAGTCGTCTTATTCTCAACAGTCCGCTTTGGATCTGCTACTTTCTTAGTTTTTGTATCCTTCTTTTTGGCTTCTAAAGACTTTTTAGGATCAATACGCTTCTTTTCATTAAGTTTTGCTGTGTTGGAAAAGGGAGAATGAAGCATTCATTATTTCAACATTTAAATTGTCTAATTTGCAAACAAAGATAGAATACGAGGAGAGATTAAAGAGACTAGGAATTCTTAGCTTGGAAAAGAGGAGACTAAGGGGGGATATGATAGAGGTCTATAAAATAATGAGTGGTGTGGAGAAAGTGAATAAGGAAAAATTATTTACTTGTTCCCATAATATAAGAACTAGGGGCCATCAAATTAAACTAATGGGCAGCAGATTTAAAACAAATAAAAGGAAGTTCTTCTTCACACAGCGCATAGTCAACCTGTGGAACTCCTTGCCTGAGGAGGTTGTGAAGGCTAGGACTGTAACAGGGTTTAAAAGAGAACTAGATAAATTCATGGAGGTTAAGTCCATTAATGGCTATTAGCCAGGATGGGTAAGGAATAGTGTCCCTGGCTTCTGTTTGTCAGAGGGTGGAGATGGATGGCAGGAGAGAGATCGCTTGATCATTACTTGTTCAGTGCACTCCCTCTGGGGCACCTGGCATTGGCCACTGTCGGCAGACAGGATGCTAGGCTGGATGGACCTTTGGTCTGACCCAGTATAGCTGTTCTTATACAACTCTAGGCACGGGTGCAATGGGCTCTATTTCGTAGGTTTTATGTCCCGCTGGGACCTCATATTTTAAATGTTTATATATATATTTGTACTGTGTTTTTCAAAAAAATTTGCAAGCCACCTCAAATATTTTAAATAGAGGGGCAGGGTTAAAATAAATAAATAAATAAAAATAAACAAACAAAGCAAGCAAGCAAGTTCTGATCAAGGGCATAAGAGATTTAGATGCACCTGAATTGGTGCAGCCACAGGACAGCACTTAAAAGAACTGATCTCTGTTTTCACAATGCCCAAGCGTACAGAAGATATCCAGTAGTTACTAATCATTACTATTTTCTGATGATTAAGACTCTGATAAGTAGGCTTTCCAATAAGTATAGGCACTTTATTCAGAAATATGCCAAATCCTGGCAGTGAGGGATGCTACTCTTGACTCAGTTCATTATCAGAACCTAGGATTCCAGGTGTCTGTTCTTTTCAAATAAGCATACTTGTGAGGAGAAAATGAGGCTGTCTACACACTGGCGCGATCTTGCGTCAAAGCGGCCGTTCTCGCGCAAAAACTTGCTGCCTGTCTACACTGGCCGTGTGTTCTTGCGCAAGTAAACTGACGTTCTACTGTATAAAATCAGGGCTTCTTGCGCAAGAACTATGATGCTCTTGCTCAGAGGCCAGTGTAGACAGGCAACATGAATTTCTTGCACAAGAAAGCCCTATGGTTAAAATGGCCATCAGAGCTTTCTTGCTCAAGAGAGCGTCTACACTGGCATGGTTGCTCTTGTGCAAAAGCACATGCCAGTGTAGACGCTCTCTTCTGGAAGCGTTTTTGCACAAGAACTCTCCTGCAAAAGAGTTCTTGCGCAAGAAGCTGCCAGTGTAGACATAGCCTGAGAGTTCTAAGACTAGTGTTTCCAAAACTGGGGGAGGAGATGGGGAGTCAGCAGAATGCCAAAGGCTAATCTTGGGAAATGGGGTTGAAAAGAGCTATGGCAACAGCTCAATGACTCTAGTCTCCCAATGCAAATATGTGGGTATAAGAATGGCCCATTTCTTGAAACCTACCCCTTCCCTCCCTACTCCTGTAGGCAAGGGTTATGCGCTGTTTGCAAAAAGCACTTAAGCACTGGTGCCATCATAAAACAATTGCTGCCAACAACATCCTGAGACAACTGAGGCATGATGCAATCTATTAAAATGGGGACTCCAAGGAGCAAGAATCTGGGTGGGACACTTTGCCTAACGAGCTTGTTTTAGAATTACAACAATTTCTGCATGTTTTCATTGAAAAGGTGAAAATTCTCATATGTCTTACCTGACGTGGTTGAAGTTTTCTTAGCTTTACTATCTGTCTGCATCACCTTTTTTTTGGTCACTTCATGTTTACCTAAGTAAAATATTTATAACTTAAGAACTCAATATAAGTAGGGGTTCTCAAACTGGCCTGAAGTAGTAATAACCAAATGGATATTTGGTTTCAGCTTTTTGCACCATACCCCCCACTATAAATACTGTTCCAACACTCCTGAATATAAGTGGATATTATTACTTCTAATTAGTGGTATACAATTCACAGGACTTGCTTCATCCTTGACTGAAATGCAGCCAGCTCTGGAGTAAAAAGAGGTAACTATTTAACATTGCACATCAATACAACAACAGAGGCAAGAATCCCAACAGTAACCGCAGAGGGAGTTAGATAAGCAAAATGCAATTACTGGAATTGTAATTAGGTGAGGACATTAAAGTTAAACCCCATTCTTATAAAAAGTATCATGAGCTTTCGTGGGCACAACCCACTTCTTCAGATGACAGAGTGTTAGAAGTCCAGATCCAAGAATAAATAAGGGAAGTGGGAGGGCGGGGAGGAAAAAAGAAGACAGTGAGTAGATAAGCTTCAGAAGGATAGCCGAGTTAGTCTGTAACAGAAAAACTAAAAAAAATAGTCTAGTATCACCTTAAAGACTAAATAGTTACCAGAGGCTGATAACTTCATTCACAAGTTTAATTATAATGCAAATGGTATGAACCAGATGGCTCGCACATTATCTTCCACATGTTAATGACTTAAGAACCATTAGCACCTTCATAGGTTGGTTAAGTTCCAACCCTTCTAGCACTCCTAGCTACCAAAACTACAAACCATGAGTAATATACCTGAAAATACCATCCTGACCACCATGGATGTAGAAGCTCTTTACACCAACATTCCACATGAAGATGGATTACAGGCTAACACTGCACACCTAGTTACAGGGCTCTGTGACTTTGTCCTCACCCACTACTTCCAATTCGGAGACAATTTGTATCTTCAAGTCAGCGGCACAGCCATGGGCACCTGCATTGCACCACAATATGCCAAAGTCTTTATGGCTGACCTTGAACAATGTTTCCTCAGCTCTCACCCCCTACCACCCTTACTCTACTTGCACTACATTGATGACAATCTCCATCATATGGACCCATGGGAACGAGACCCTTGAAGAATTTCACAGGGATTTCAACAACTTCCACCCCACCATCAACCTCAGCCTGCATCAGTCCACATAAGAAATCCACTTCCTTGACACTACAGTACAATTAAAGGCTGGAAAAATTTCCACCACCCTATACCGGAAACCTACCGACTGCTACACTTACCTTCATGCCTCTAGCTTCCATCCCAGACACATTTCTCAATCTACTGTATACAGCCAAGCGCTAAGATACAACCAGATTTGCTCTAATCCCACAGACAGAGACAAACACCTATAGGAGCTACGCAGAGCATTCTTAAAACTGAAATACCCACCCGGAGACGTAAAAGACAGATCGACAGAGCCAAAAAAAGTATCCAGACACAAACTACTTCAAGACAAGCCCAAGAGAGAAAACAATAGAATTCCACTCATCATCACCTACAGCCCACAACTTAAACCCCTCCAACGCATTATCAACAAACTACAACCTATCCTGGAACATGACCCCTCACTCTCAGAGGCCTTGTGCGGGGGGGGGGGGGCAATTCTCACTTACAGACAACCCCCTAACTTCAAACAGATTCTTTCCAGTAACCACCCAACACACCTCCATCATAATCATCCTGGAACCCACCCCTGTAATCAGCCCCGGTGCCAACTCCGCCCACACATCTATACCACCAATTTCGTTACTGGATCCAACCACATCAGCCACCAAGTCAGAGGCTCACTTAACTGAACATCTACTAATGTGATCTATGCCATCAAATGCCAGCAATGCCTCACTGCAACGTATACTGGCCAAACTGGACAGTCTCTGCGGGAAAGAATTAATGGACACAAATCAGATATCCCAATAGAGCAATTCACAAAAACCTGTTGGAGAACATTTTAATCTTCCTGGACACTCATTAATGGATCTTCAAGTCGCCTTTTGTTTCAGACCAATTCCACAAGTCAAATGCACAGAGAAGGCTTGAACTTAACTTCATTCACAGGTTTAATTCTTATGCAAATGGTATGCACAAGGATATTGGATGGCTCGCACATTAATGACTTAAACCAACCAACCAACCAATGAAGGTGCTAACAGTTCTTATCAGCTTCTTGTAGCTATTTGGTCTTTAAGGTGCTATTAGACTATTTGTTGTTTTTTTAGTTTTTCCTGTTACAGACTACCTTGGCTACCTCTCTGAAGCTTATCTACTCAACGGACTCTCTTTTTTTTCTTCCTCCCTCTCCTTTTCCCTCCCTTATTTATTCTTGGATCTGGATCTCTAACACTCCTGTCATCTGAAGAAGTAGGTTGTGCCCATGAAAGCTCATGATACCATCTACTTGTTTTGTCAGTCTTTAAGATGCTACTAGACTATTCGTTGTTTTTTAAGTTTTTCCTGTTACAGAACAACACAGCTACCCCCTCTGAAGCTTACAAAAAGTGTTCTTAATGATCACTACTAATCAGAATCTCAATTTTACACCTTAACTGAAAAAAACAGCCACTAAGGCACTGGATTCAATAATGATACAAGGAAAGCACCACCAACTAAATTAACAACAACAACCTGACTGGTTTTCCAATCAAATACTAACTTGTTCCCATCCTGTTTAAGAGTAGCTTGAGAAAGCGGAAGGAATACCACCTGGCGATATGGCTATTTAGTTACTTTCAAATGCGTATTTTTTTAACAAAAATCTAAAACCTACCAGCAAGTTTAACTGCTCTTGTTGTGGTTTGTCCAGTTTTTGTTAATTTTGCTGAAGTAACAAGAAAAATGTGTCATTACAAATCCTAAAGCAGAAGACTATTTTCACTTTTAAAACATGACAAAGCCTTGCACCAAAAAGTTATAAAGCCCTATCTTAGCAATGGTCTTCAATATTTCAAAAGAGTAGTAGCACACTGACAGATCAAAGCTAGGTGTGCACAGGGATCTAGAAGGGAGCATAAAGCACCTTGCAGCAGTGTCTCCTGAGGGGAATAACTGATCAGCACGTGTATGTATCTCGGAGGTGGCTACTGCTTATGGGGCTAATCGACAGCCTATTAAATTAATAGAAAAAACACTGATTTTATAGGACCATAAATACCATACTCGTCTTTCACAGATAAAAGCATACAACTGGTTATCTAAAACTTATTGGAACGTAAGGAGTTAGGGATGCATTAAACCACATGCCCCCTCAAGAAAATTATTATAAGAGGAAATTTCAGGGACAGATTGTTTCCTTGTCTCCGCTTCGGGCCTGCTTTCAGGTCACAACCACAATAAGTTAAAAAAAAAAAAAAACTATTAGCCAAGGACGAGAAAAGGGAAATATCAGAAAGTGACTGGAACTCACCTGCAGAAGCAGCTGCAGTAGCAGATTTAATCTTCTTAATAGTAGCACTATTTCCCTCTTTTCTAATACGAGAAAGAAACAGGATCAGAGAGGACAGTAAGTTTTTAAAAAACAATTTCACAAATGTGAAAACAGAAAGAAAATGCATTTCCGTTTTGCATTTTACTATTTTGAAGAACTACAAGCAAAAGGTGGTAGTTGCTATGCACGCATCTCACTTACTTTGTACTCAATGCTGCTTTTTTTATACTCTGTGTCATCTTCTTTACACTTACTTTGACCTGTAATTTATGTAAAGAATATGAAATAAACCTTTACTGTGTTTTCTACATCTTGCTATTTACCACAGACTACATTTTTTTATGGCTTGGAAAAAAATATTACATTAATCCCATTTATCCATAAACATCCATCTTTTTCCATAAGTAAGACAAAAAAAACACAAGAACTGGAATCAGATAGAGTTACATTTTTTTAAAACTACTATTCTTCCACAGAGGGAGATCCGTACAAATCTAATTGCTCAAAGCAATCTGTGGTATTAATAATTTTCTAAAGCTATTGTAAGAATGCAACAACAAAACATTACCCTAATCTCCAACATCCTACTTACCTGGCCAGGAAGTATTTTTGGCTTTTCTGCTATACTTATTTTCACACGCTTCCCATTTACCAGCACCGGCGCTGTTTCACCATACTTCACAGCTGCTACCACTGCCTCTTTATAGTTCATTTCTAGGAAGGCCTACAATAAATTGCAAGTTTCTTTTGAAATATTTGCTATATAGTTGAAAGCTGAAACAAATTATAGTTTGTTTTAGGAAATCTGTTCCACTATTTGATCTGAGGAAGTGGGTCTGGCCCACGAAAGCTCATCACCTAATAAACCATCTTGTAAGTCTTTAAAATGCTACATAGTTCTGGTTTTTGTTCACACCATGTGATCCTTAAGGAAAATACACACACAAGTCTGAAATTTGTTGAAAAATATCTGGATTAGAGTTTTATAGGAAGAAACTTTTAAGATGTATCAAATATCTAGACAATTCAACAATTCTCGCTCAGAAAACAAGCAAGACTTATTTTCACATTGACAGAACTAACATGCCTGGTTCTTGCAAGACTGCCTATGGCATCTTTAATGTCTAAAACTGGTTAACTGTCCTCATAGTCAAAGAACTTTGGAACAGAGAACTGACAGGATTCCATTGATCAGCATATTTTATTACTACGTTAAGAGCATTGTACATTTAAGGCACTGTAAGTATGGCATACAGATTTCACATCTTGATAGGCACCTCAGAACATGCTTACCTCATTTCTAGAGCGAAGCACCAGGAAGTCACTCACTTTACCAAATGGCTGAACAATTTTTTTAATATCTTGATCTGAAAAGCCATCATCAGGCAAATCTGTTATATGAAGAACTGTGCCACAACTCAAAAGTTTCTCTCTCAATAACTGTAAAAAAAAAAACCAAACAATTTTCTAAGCCGCATATTAAAAAAAATGCTTTGAATGAAAATCATTCCAACTGGTAAGTTTACTCTAGTATTAAACAAAACTGCCAAAAGTTGACTGTAAATCCATCCTCTCTTCTTTTGTAAATACATCTAACCCTGTTTTAACTTACCTGTAAAACATGGTGTGGGAACACAGTATAATGCAACATTAATTTTATGACCTATTTTGAATAAGAGGACTCAGATTTTCAAAAAGTGTTAAAGTTTTAAAATCCTTTTATGTTGTTCGGTCTTATCAGGAGCTTCACAGGTTCAAAATACTACAAACGTCATTAGTGTCATGTGGATATCATCTTTTTAATTTATTTTTATCCTGTTTAGAAAGATAACATGTTCTCTTTGTTGTACACTTTGGTGACAGGAAAGTACTTGCTTCTAGCAGCATGACCAGTTGTATCCATCACAGTTAAACAGTGGTAAATAAAAATATTTAAAAAATCTGCAGATCACACACTAGGGATGTGTAAACGTGTACACGGTTAACCGATGGGCCTGGGTTTCACCCATTCTCCCCGCCCCCACCCCAGCTGCTGTCTCTGTATTAATACATTTATGAGACCAGAGGTTATATGGTTAAATTATTCAACTGGCACCCAGAAGATCTGGGCAGGCAAATCTAATCTTTCCTTTACCTGCTGTGTCTATTTAGACTAAGTTGCTCTGGACACGGTCTGTTTCTTACCAGTGCTTAACACAATGGGGGCCCAATTTCAGTTGGGGCCTTTAGATCAGGGGTGGGAAAGAGGCTGCCAGCAGGCTGGATCCAGCCTGCCAAGTCACCAGATCTGGCCCGCAGCTAGCCAGCCAGAACCCTTAGGCAGACAGCAGCTCACGCTTTAAACAGCTGGCTGCTGTCCACTCTGGACGGCTGGAGAGGGAGGAGGGAGGCTATGCACACTGCCCCTGCACCGCAGCAAAATCTCTCAGCTCCCATTGCCATTTTCTAGCCAATAGGAGCTGAGAAATTTTGCTGGGGGCAGGGGCAGCATATGAAGCCTCCCTTTCTCCCTATGCCCGGAACAGAACCACATGGAGAAGCCAGCCAACAAACTTTATCAAAGAGACAGACAGCCTGCCTCAGGTTCCTGCACCTAGGTAACTGCCTCCCAGCCAGAGCCTGCCTCTGGCACCAAAACCCACTCTTCCCCCACAACTACCTGCCCAGGTCACTACACAAAACCTCTGTACCCCTTTCCCCCTTCTCCCAGGTCACAAATCCCTCCCAGACCCTGTACCCCTCCTATATCCCTCCCCAAGTCCAGAATTCTCTCTTGCATCCTTACCCTCTCCTGGATCCTTCACCCCAAGCTCCAGCCCCAAATCACAACCCCGTCCTTTACCCAAACTCTCCCTCAGACCCCACGCCTCTTCCTGCACCCCAGACTCCCTACTCCAAACTCCCTTCTGCACCAAAGCTCCGTCCCAAACCTTATACTCCCTCCACAGAAGTTCAGCCCTTGTCCTCTTGGCATGGCCCCCCATTAAAAATTAGTGCCCACCCCTGCTTTAGATACTACTGTAATATACATTGTTAACGCAAACATAAATGAATGAATAAGGACTATGGATTAAACAGTATTGAAACAAGCACTACAAAAAATGCCTAGAGAGAGATCTTGGAGTCATTGTGGATACTTCTCTGAAAATACATTCGATGTGCAGCAGCAGTCAAAAAGCAAACAGAATGTTAGGAATCGTTAAAAAGGCATAGAGAATAAGACAGTATCTTATTGCCTTTGTATAAAACCATGATATGCCCACATCTTGAATACTGCATACTGATGTGATCATCTCGTTTCAAAAAAGCTCTCCGGGCATTGGAAAAGGTTCAGAAAAGGGCAACAAAAATTATTAGGGGTTTGAAACGGGTCCCACATGAAGCAAGATTAAAAAGACTGGGACTTTTCATCTTAGAAAAGAGGAGACGGGGGGGGAGGGGAGGGACGACAAATATGATAGAGGTCTATAAAATCATGACTGGTGTGGAAAAAGTGAATAAGGAAAAATTATTTACTTGTTCCCATAAGAACTAGGGGTCACCAAATTAAATTAATAGGCAGCATGTTTAAAACAAACAAAAGCAAGTTTTTCTTCATGCAGCGCACAGTCAACCTGTGGAACTCCTTGCCAGAGGATGTTGCAAAAATCAGGACTTTAACATGGTTCAAAAAAGAATTTAGATAAATTCATGGAAGTTAGGTCCATCAATGGCTAATTAGTCAGGATAGGTAGGAATGGTGTCCCTAGCCTCTGTTTGTCAGAGGCTGGAAATGGGTGAAAGGGGGGCATCACATGATGATTCTGTGTTCTGTTCACTCCCTCTGGGGCATCTGGTATTGGCCACTGTTGGAAGACAGGACACTGGACTAGACGGACCTTTGGTCTGACCCAGTATCACCGTTCGTATGCTCTATTAATTGGTCAACAGTGCATTGTTCCTATTTCTAAGGCCCGAAAAGTAAACTCATGCCTGGAAAGCTGTCAGAGTCAGAGGTCAGAATGACCTATATGCATCTCCAAAATAATTTTCGGCTTTCAATATATTGTGTTGCAGTGATGTTCCCTCTAATGTGTCCATTCACAGGCAGAACCAATTTTGTTGCTCTGTGCACTGAGGCTTGTGAGGATTTGCACCACCAGAAGAAACACATGCTGCCAGCTGTGGCTGCTCTGATAATTCATCGGGCAGCATTTGACTCTCTCCTGGGAGGTGGCTGTCCAAGCGCTCAGCTTACAGGGAACACTGTGTTGCAGTAGTGTTTATCAAGCTCACTAGCAAACAGTAAATTGCTACATTTAGACTATAATCTCTACTATACAAAGCCAACAAACCAGCTGTTTCAAGGGAACAATTACACCTTTTTCCACATGATCCCCTTGAAGATGAGACATACAGGTTGGACCTCCCTGGTCTGGCACTGATGGGGCCAGGTGTGGTCAATGCTCCCCTGCTGGCTGTCCCACTCCCAAGCTGCCAAGGCTGGGGTTCCTGCTCGCTGCTGCCGGGTGTTCCCCAGGTTCCCCTGCCAAGCCACACAGACACCACCACCCCTGCTGCCACTGGGGATTCCCCAGGGCTCCCCATCCAAGACTCACCTGATGCCGCCGGGCCCCGCTGCCACTGGGGGTTCTCTGGCTGGGAACACCCAGCCACACCAGCCCCACTACCACTGGGAATTCCAGGGTTCCTCATCTGGGATTCCTTGGCCTCAATAATGCCAGGGAGTTCCCCAGCCCTGTCTGGGGCTACCCAGCTGCCTGGCTCACAGCTCGCTGGATGTTTCCCAGGGTTCCCTGGCTGGGGATGCCCAGCCACCACCAGCCCCACTGCTGGAGCCAGTCCTGCTCCCGCTGGGGCTTCCCCGAGGCTTCCTGGCCACCACCTTACCCTGCTGCAGCAAGGGGTTCTCCAGGTGGGGAAGGGTCTCCCCATTTGCTTCCTGGTCTGGCTAACATCAGGGGTTCCCTGGCCAGGGAGGGAACTCCCTGTTCGTAGCCTGGTCCTACTAATGATGGGGGTTCTCCAGCTGGGCCGCGGCTCCCCAGCCGCCACCTGGCCCAGCCACAGCTCCCCAGCCCTGAGTGCTCTTAGCTGGCTCCCGCTCTCCACCTCCAGGGCTCTTTGGTCCAGCAACATCTGTGGCACCGAAGGGTCACAGAGCTGGGACTTTCAACCTCTATTAACCACATTCTTAAAACCACAACAGAAAATACAGAAAACACTGACCCTATTATAAGGAGCAGGACGAGGAACTTTGGTTTCCTTTGCAGCTTTCCCATCAAAATTCATCTCCCTCTTTTCTTGTGCATCAGCAGTTTCAGATTTCATTTTAGAAGCAGATGAGCCAGGCACAGACGATAAATCTTTCTTCAAAGTCTTGTGATGACCTGTAGCATTTAGTGGCTTTTTCATAGTTCCAGGTACCTTTCCTACGCCTGACATCCCTCGTGCAGGTGATGCTTTTCCTATCCCTGAAGACCCTTGTCCAGCTGCTTGAAGCGATTTCTGTTTATTGAATTCTGCAACGAAACTGGCTCCCAAACTTTTTACTACAGCCTCTAAGGCTGCCTTTTTATCTGAGGAAAAGAAAAACAACGTTCTTACAATACAGTACATTGATTGTCAATCAGTTTCCCAAGCAGAATTGCAGCTGTAAAAAACTGCTTTATCTAAACAAATCTGATAATTTCGTAGAAAGACAAACAGGAACCTAATATTTTTAATCAAGTTTGTTTTCTTTCTTCGTCACTGTATATAATTAAAACTGTAGCAAAAATAAAAGGTTATTTTACCATTAATACTGCCTATTTTCTTTCAGCAATGTTTTTATAGACTGAGTAAGGGAAGCAGACCACAGTTTCCAATCCCAAAGGTGCGCAGTACTACTAGGCCGCAACATCTGGATTGCAAGCACTGCCGGATAAATTTTCAATCCCTAAACATTGTTTTAATTGCAATTTAAAAAAAATTCACACACAATTTTTTGGGGTAAAAACGTGTGTAAACCAGGCTTAGATTCTGGGCCTTAACCAACCACACAGAATATTCCCTTAAACACAACTCCATTTTCATAACTAAGTTGCACACACAACTGCCCAAAAGAACAGGAACTTTTCTTTAAGAGGTACACACACATTCATGCTGGGTGAAACCAAGTGAGTGGCAGATAAAAGGAAAAGAAAATCACAAGGGTCCATGGGTACTTTCTATTTCTAAAACCTTCCAGGATAGGATTTTTTAAACCCTATCCTGCTCATCACTCCCCAAACTAGCTTTTAAAAACAACGCTTTCAAGTGTGAAAGAATTAGCAGCGACTTCAACATCGTTTTCTCTGTTCCTCCTCCCCCTGCACTACCTCCAGCCCTCTCCTCTATTTGTTGTCCTTTCCAGTGTGTGCTTCTGTGTCTCTCTCCTCTCTTATAGACTGCAGTGGCCAGAGCAGCTTTGCGATTATTATGTTGGAAGACGAAGGGGTGTTAAAATGCTCTCTGCCTCATTGATCTAAGAGTGAGTAGTATGCAATGAATATGTTCACTCAGCAGGCTGTATAATCCCCTCTTCTCACTGCTAATATGGCTGGAAGGTGGCAGGCTCAGATCTTGCAGATGACATAAGTAGGGAGGAAGTACTGATGTCTTTCATGAAATCTAGAAGCTTTGATAATGTCATCAAGAGTTAAAATGGTACCAGAATGACATTCCACACTGTTTTCGGTGTTCCTGAGGTTTAAAAGAAAACTTTTGCAGGAGAACAAGAAATCTGAAGTATGGGAATTGTTAAAACATAGTTCAGTTCACAGGGCCCAAGAACAACATCAGCATACAAAACATAATGGTCTGAAAACTGACTACGCTTATTATCAGGGCTCGACAAACCGCTGACTCTATGCGCCCGTGGCAAGTAGATTTCAGCCAGTCGCTCCGTGTGCCCCATTCACCAGCGCTGCGCACATGCACAGTGCCGGTCTGGTGCATGCACGGTGCTGGGCTGGTGAGTAGCTCTCGCCACGGTTTGTCAAGCCCTTCTTCTTATTAAATAACACTAAAATTACTATATATGAAAGACCAAAGAAAAACTCTTTTCTCCAGAATTATTCCAGGCAATTGATAGCAGTTAGTGTCTTGGCCAACTTGACTTACGTGTTCAAAAAAGAACTACATAAGGAGAAAAGGTTCAATGGCTACTGGCCAGGAGGGGCAGGGATGGTGTCCCTACCTCTGTTTACCAGAAGCTGGGAATGGACAACAGAGGACTGGATTGCTTGATCACCTGTTCTGGTCATTCCCTCAGTGACACCTGGCTCTGGACACTGTTGGAAGACAGGACACAGGGCTAGAAGGATGTTTGGTCTGACCCAAGTATGGCCATTCTTATGTTAGTGAACTGTGAGTTTCACTATTTCCATTGTACAGTCAGTTTCGTATGCGTGCGTGCGCTCTCACAAAGCAACAGGGGTAGGGGTGTTACAAACACAAGACTGAAAACGATAAAAAAAATTGGCAGGTGGGTTCCAAGACAGGTAAAGTTCCTGAAACTTCAGATGTTTTCCATTTGATGTTTGCCCTTTAATTTCAGTAATACCCATCTACTGACCTGGAGATCTAGCTGTCCTCCTTGATGCCCATTCATTGCTAGCAGATCGCTGGGGTCGTGGACTAGACCTCAAAGGATTTCTGGATCGTTGTGGTGACCTAGACCTGTGCCTAGGGCTAAGACGACGCATCTGCCTTGGACTTCGACTTCTTGGTCTAGCTAGCCTGAAACGGCCAGGGCTCCTGGATCGGGATCGGGACCGGCGAAGAACATGGCCAGAGCCTGATCCTCTTGAATGCCTAGGACCAGGACTAGCAGAATTAGAACGTCTCTTTGGGGTCTGATTTTCTTTTCTGTCGCCTTCATTTCTGTGAAACAAAAAGTAGATTACAAGGATATCCTAAGTAATTCCTTATCTAATCTGAAAAGGATCAATTTAAACTGTCTGTTGAAACAGACTTGTGAAAATAAAACTAGAACTGGAATAGGACTAAGTGTGCTTCCAACTCCAGTAACACAAGTTCCTTAACATTGAAGCAGAAATTGAACTGAAAAGAGGTGAGTAGGACAGAGGTGGCAACATATGAACGGAGAAGAGGAAGATACTAAAAACTAATTCCAAAGTGTTGAGCAGAAGAGACAAGGAGGATGGTGGTGCTGTCAACAGAGGAGGAGAAGAGGGTTGATCAGAAAAAAAATAATTATGTTTTGACTAAGCTGAAATTGAGTTTTGTGCTGGGCAAACTGGGACAATATGCCCACAGTTGGACACCTGGGAAAGCACAAATGCAACATGCCAGGATTTAAGTAAATATTAGAGAGCTGCAACCAGAGGCTTCCTAAATGTGGGTAAACAGCCCTTTTCACCTGCCTGGTGATTCTGTCTTTTCTGCATTGTTTTATGTATCCCCTATATGGGGGGGGGGGAGGTGCGCCCTTCCTAAAGTGCACCTAGGGTATGGAAAGCTTCAAGCTGGCGCAGTTCCAGATGGGGAGGGGGGGAAAGAGGGTGCATGCCCCCAGCCAGCCTCTTTCACCTGCCTGGTGATTCTCTCCCTTTTATGAGAAGCAATCCCATTCCAGGCACATCCTGTTTTCCTGGCACAACCAAACCCTTACCTTGCTTTAAGTTATGATAAGAAGAAGCTGCACACCAAATTTGGTGGTCCTAGTTCTTATAATTTACAAGTTCTTGAGCAAACAGACAGACCCTCCACTAGGACAAACTCTTAAATACAGTAAACTTCTGATAATCCAGCACCTTTAGGACCCAGGGGGTACCAGATTATCAAATATGCTGGACTATCGGAAGGGTGGGCTATGAGAGGCCTGGAGTGGGGGTATGGGGAGGAGCGGCGCTGCAGCGGCAGCACCCCAGCTGCTCTGCAGCAGATGTCCCCAAGTCAGCCGCTGCTGAAACTGACCAGCGGCTGACTCCGGGAAGCCCGGGCAGAGCAGCTCCAATTGTACCACTGCCTGGAGCACTTCCAGGTTCCAGGTAGTACCAGACTAGCAGGAGTGCTGGACCACTGGATGCCAGACAACTGAAGTTTTACTGTATATAGTAGACCACACAGAGCACGTCAGCACTCAAAAATCATTAGCAACAACTTCCACTTGAAGTTCCCACAAAATTCTTTCTTCACTCAATCTTTCAAAACTTAGCCATATGTAATCTTCAGGGCTCAACAAATACACTTGCCCGCGGCAACCTGTTATAGCCAACCTGTTCTTAAAAACCCTCCAATCATAGGGACTCTACAATCTTCCTTGAAAGCACACTCTAGAGCTTAAACTACCCTTATAATTAGCAAGGGTTTCTGAATATTTAACACAGCTCTTAACTTACTGCAGATTAATCCTGTTACTACATACAGTCCCACCTTCCATGAATATGAAGAGCAAATGATCACAGTCTTTTTTATAACAGTTCAACATATTTGAAGACTGTTTTCATGTTCCCCCTCGGCCTTTTTTTTCTCCAAACCAAATATTCCCAGTTTTTTAACCTTCCCTCACAGGTCAAGTTTTCCAATACCTTTTATCACTTGCTGATCTCCTCTAACATCTCTGCAACTTAACCACAACTTTCATAGAGTGTGGTCCCTAGAACTGGACACACTGCTCCAACTGAGGCCTCACCAGTGCTAAGCAGAACTGGACAAATACCTCCCATGTATTACATACAATACTCCTGTTAATAGAGTACATGAATATTATACCCCAGAATATTAGCCTTTTTTGAAAATGCATCGCATTAAATTTGTGATCAACTATAACTCCTAGCTCCTTTTCAAAAGTACTACTACACGGCTAGTTATTCCCATTTTATAGTTGTGCATTTCATTTTTCCATCCTAAGTCAAGTCCCTTTCACTTGTTTTTTGGTTTTCCTCTTCCATAATTCAAATAAATGCTCCCATTTGCCAGTCATTCTGAATTCTAATCCTGTTCTCTGAAGAGCTTGCAACCTTCCAGCTTGGTGTCATCCACAAGTTTTATAAGCACTCTCTCCACCCCGTTATCCAAATCATTAATGAAAATATAGACCAGTACGAGACCCAGGACTGACTTCTGTGGTATACCGGAAGGTACATCCTTCCAGATTGACAGCACTTATTGATAATTACTTACTGATTTTGGTCTTTCAATCAGATAGAGATCCCATCATATAATACAAGGTGGGCCATATTTTTGATTGGGGGCCATTCCAAGAACCTCCCAAGTGGTCAAGGACTGCACTCTTCCATGATATTAATATAGAAGGTGCAGGGTCTGGGATGGAGACGGGAGCTTATGGTAAGGTACTGGGGTGAAGGGGGGGGGTGGTATCTGGGAGGAAGTTAGTGTGAAGGAGGGGGTTCTAAACCTGGAGCAGGGACTGGGGCACAGGGGTTTGGGTTGTGACCTAGGGCAGGCAATTGGGGTGCAGGATCTGGGAGGGGGCATGGGTGCAGGAGGAGGGACAGAGGATTTGGATTAATGGGATAGGGAAACAGGAGTGAAGGAGCAGAGGGTAAACCAGAGGCTGAGAGAGCCTCCCTGGGTGACTCCTAGCCAGCAGCCCAACAGGTACTTTGCCTTCCATTCTCTGGGCAGGCCACTCAAGAGCAGCTAGCTGCAGGACCACAAATGTCTGAACACCTGTGAGCTGGAGGGGACGGAGTTCTTAGTGAACTGTCTGTTCTTCAAACAGGCAGGTTCCGTTGGCCAAAAATCAGACAATGGGAGCTACAAGATCATGCTGGGGGCAAGGGCAGCATGCAAAGCCTCTCTCCTCTTCCCCCCCAGGGATGTAGCCATTCACAAAAAAACAGGGCCCCACTGCCAGCTTTTCTGAGCAGCAGGTGGGGATGGGTCCGGCAGGAAGACTAACAGGTTCCTGCTGTGCCCACTGGCTAGATCCAGCAACTTGATGGGCAGGATCTGGCCTGCAGCCACATTTTGCCCAGTCCTGATATAATTTCATCTAGATCACATTCCCCTAATTTGCTCATAAGAACACACCTGTTAATGCATCCTAGAATCATGTTTGCTTTTTTTGCAACAGCATCACACTGCTGACTCATATTCAACCTGTGGTCCACTATAACCCCTAGATCCCTTTCTGCCGTACTCCTTCCTAGGCAGTCGCTTCCCATTCTGTATGTGTTAAACTGATTGTTCCTTCCTAAGTGGAGCACTTTGCATTTGTCTTTATTAAGCTACATCCTGTTTACCTACGACCATTTTTTGAATCTGTCCAGATCATTTTGAATTATGACCCTATCCTCCAGATCAGTCGCAATCCCTCCCAGCTTGGTATAATCTACAAACTTAATAAGTGTACTTTCTATGCCAATATCTAAATCGTTGATGAAGATATTGAGCAGAGCCGGTCCCTAAACAGACCCCTGCGGAACCCCACTTGTTATGCCTTTCCAGCAGGATTGTGAACCATTAATAACTACTCTCTGAGTATGGTTATCCAGCCAGTTATGCACCCACCTTATAGTAGCCCCATCTAAGTTGTATTTACCTGGTTTATTGATAAGAATATCATGCGAGACTGTATCAAATGCCTTACTAAAGTCTAGGTATACCACATCCACCCCTTCTCCCTTATCCACAAGACTCGTTAGCCTATCAAAGAAAAATTCTAATCCTGTTCTCTGAAGAGCTTGCAACCTTCCAGCTTGGTGTCATCCACAAGTTTTATAAGCACTCTCTCCACCCCGTTATCCAAATCATTAATGAAAATATAGACCAGTACGAGACCCAGGACTGACTTCTGTGGTATACCGGAAGGTACATCCTTCCAGATTGACAGCACTTATTGATAATTACTTACTGATTTTGGTCTTTCAATCAGATAGAGATCCCATCATATAATACAAGGTGGGCCATATTTTTGATTGGGGGCCATTCCAAGAACCTCCCAAGTGGTCAAGGACTGCACTCTTCCATGATATTAATATAGAAGGTGCAGGGTCTGGGATGGAGACGGGAGCTTATGGTAAGGTACTGGGGTGAAGGGGGGGGGTGGTATCTGGGAGGAAGTTAGTGTGAAGGAGGGGGTTCTAAACCTGGAGCAGGGACTGGGGCACAGGGGTTTGGGTTGTGACCTAGGGCAGGCAATTGGGGTGCAGGATCTGGGAGGGGGCATGGGTGCAGGAGGAGGGACAGAGGATTTGGATTAATGGGATAGGGAAACAGGAGTGAAGGAGCAGAGGGTAAACCAGAGGCTGAGAGAGCCTCCCTGGGTGACTCCTAGCCAGCAGCCCAACAGGTACTTTGCCTTCCATTCTCTGGGCAGGCCACTCAAGAGCAGCTAGCTGCAGGACCACAAATGTCTGAACACCTGTGAGCTGGAGGGGACGGAGTTCTTAGTGAACTGTCTGTTCTTCAAACAGGCAGGTTCCGTTGGCCAAAAATCAGACAATGGGAGCTACAAGATCATGCTGGGGGCAAGGGCAGCATGCAAAGCCTCTCTCCTCTTCCCCCCCAGGGATGTAGCCATTCACAAAAAAACAGGGCCCCACTGCCAGCTTTTCTGAGCAGCAGGTGGGGATGGGTCCGGCAGGAAGACTAACAGGTTCCTGCTGTGCCCACTGGCTAGATCCAGCAACTTGATGGGCAGGATCTGGCCTGCAGCCACATTTTGCCCAGTCCTGATATAATTTCATCTAGATCACATTCCCCTAATTTGCTCATAAGAACACACCTGTTAATGCATCCTAGAATCATGTTTGCTTTTTTTGCAACAGCATCACACTGCTGACTCATATTCAACCTGTGGTCCACTATAACCCCTAGATCCCTTTCTGCCGTACTCCTTCCTAGGCAGTCGCTTCCCATTCTGTATGTGTTAAACTGATTGTTCCTTCCTAAGTGGAGCACTTTGCATTTGTCTTTATTAAGCTACATCCTGTTTACCTACGACCATTTTTTGAATCTGTCCAGATCATTTTGAATTATGACCCTATCCTCCAGATCAGTCGCAATCCCTCCCAGCTTGGTATAATCTACAAACTTAATAAGTGTACTTTCTATGCCAATATCTAAATCGTTGATGAAGATATTGAGCAGAGCCGGTCCCTAAACAGACCCCTGCGGAACCCCACTTGTTATGCCTTTCCAGCAGGATTGTGAACCATTAATAACTACTCTCTGAGTATGGTTATCCAGCCAGTTATGCACCCACCTTATAGTAGCCCCATCTAAGGTGTATTTGCCTAGTTTATTGATAAGAATATCATACAAGACCGTATCAAATGCCTTACTAAAGTCTAGGTATACCACATCCACCGCTTCTCCTTTATCCACAAGACATGGATTTGTTCTTTACAAATCCATGCTGGCTGTTCCCTATCACCTTGCTACCTTCCAAGAGTTTACAGATGATTTCCTTAATTACTTGCTCCATTATCTTCCCTGGCACAGAAGTTAAACTAACTGGTCTGTAGTTTCCTGGGTTGTTCTTATTTCCCTTTTTATAAATGGGCACTATATTTGCCCTTTTCCAGTCCTCTGGAATCTCTCCTGTCTCCCATGATTTTCCAAAGATGACAGCTAGAGGCTCAGATACCTCCTCTATCAGCTCCTTGAGTATTCTAGGATGCATTTCATCGGCCCTGGTGACTTGCAGGCATCTAACTTTTCTAGGTGATTTTTGCTTAAAAGACATAAGCCAACTTAAGTTAACAATTATCTAACTCTTTCTTGATTATACAAAAAGCAAGCTAAAAATATACATAACTCTTAAAATATCAATTCTGTCAAAACAGAATTAATCCAAAAAGAAAAAAGTAGAGATGGAAGCTTGTGTTTTTAAATCAAGTGGCTTCAAAATTCATGTATGCACAGATTTTAAGGACAGAAGAGACTATTAGATCTAGTCTGCTTTTCTGTATAACACAGACTACA